TCTATAGTTTGATAACAAACTTATTGACATAAATTCATGAAATACTAGTTCAATAAAATTTTGAATGTGAGTCAACAAAGGAGACGACATGGCCTTTCACCTGTGACCCGTATAGAAAGGGTTAATAATTTATTAGAACAGATAATTATTACAGGATAATAATTCAGTCTTTTTACTAGATTCTGTATACACATCAAGTTCACTGTCATTTAGGCATCTAAGCTTAGTAGAAAAACAACAGGAACATGTTTCATTCATGAATCAGCTAATATTAACACTGTGCATCGTGTTACTCATCATTTCAATTCTATGATTTCACCCAGAAGGTCAGTTTGTGCCAAAGTTCAACCAACCTAACTTTGGTGAAAAAACCATTATTCTAAATATTTGTTTTCATATGCTTGTTGGCAAAATATGGATGATACCACATGTACATGGGAAACAAAAATAAAAAATAAATGCTTATTATTACTTTATCTTTTTTTTTTTACAATAAAATTGTTTTGGAATCTCAGTAGCTCCACAAAAAAAAAAGCTTCTAAAATAAGAAAAATATAAAATAGGAATTTGAACTAAGTAATCAAAAAAAATACTGTGAAGTTTTTCATGCTTAAGGTTTTATATCCAGAGATTCTTTATCTAACTAAAAACTCTTGCAATGTCTTAGATTTAGAATACTGTTTGTTTTGAATAACAAACTAGTTATATGTATATCATTAGCATATAAATTTGAAGTCAGTTTTCCACCATGAACTTTGTATATGCAACAATAAAGAAAATGCTATTTAATAATTCAATTATTAAACATAACAGCAACATTTGGTTACTTCTGTTAAATACTACTTTAGTTAACCATAGACAAGTAATCTATACAACTTGTGGGAAAGGACAGTGAAGTACTGATTCACTGGTCACAATATTAAAACCTATAAATTCCAATGTTGAAAACTGACCTTCTCTGAATAACACTTAGACAAAAAGAAAAACAAAGTAGTAAATCATCAGAGAGTTACAAAGTACAATAACGAATAATGCTGATAATAATACTTAAATAAGAGTAATGATCATGATAAATGAATAACAGTAAAATAATATATAAAACATGTAAAACTTCAATAGTAACTTTATACACAAGAACAGACCTCATACTACTAACCATGCATTAATCATGTCTAATAATCTATCATAGATTTTTTTAATATTATGTAATCCTACCAAAGTAATGAGGTTTCATAAAAATGTTATCTATTTCTTTATGATGGCTAATATGGATTACAATGTATCTTTTTTGCTTTTAGACAGAATATGAATTAACACAGAAAACTGACATTTAAATAAATTCAGCCTAACACATCTCTGTAATTATACTGTTAATTTTATAATAAATGACAGCAAGACATTTTAGAGCTATACTCTGGATGTCAGTAATATTACGTTTGGACATAATATTTTTTTCATTAAAACTATTGGTAGAGAGAATTTTTGTGAAATGTTTTATGTAGTATTATAGTGAGATGGTATCATTTAAGACAGGGAACACTGGGCTCATGTAAAAAGAGTAATATCTACAAACACAAAAAGTGTATTTACCCATTTGGTACACCATGTATCCTGACTTGAGAATCATCTTACATTAATAACAAAAATATGATGATGTATATTGTTATTTAGTCATTTAACTGTCACTATTGTTCGTCTAAAACAAAAATTACGAACAACGGATTTTTAAGATAGACTACCAACACATGCTTTATGTGCTGGATATTTTTCTTAGTTTATGTATCACAAAATTTTAACAACTGATACATCAAAGAATTCCATTCTTACTTAAACCATTTTAAGTTTCATACCTAGAATTTCAACTTCTTGTAGCTTCAATTTAATAGTATCAGAGCACCTGAAAGATTTTCTCACAATCAAATATACATGACAATAAAAAGCTCATACATAAGTTTCTACTTACTTTCCATTCTTTTACCATCTTGTCCACCAACTTTGCTACATCATTAATTGTATTTATTGGTCCCTCAGGCTTACTAAACATCCTGTTCAACTTTAGTTGGTCACTGAGGGAATATGAAGACAAGGATTTTCCAAGCTCTTGAATTGGAGTAAAATGAATCATATTATAACCACATTCCTTGGCAACCAAAAGTCGTTGCTCCCATTCATCAAGAGTGCCAAGCTGTTTGGTTAAAACAGTTTGACACTGAATGCAGTCCAAAGGTAGAACCTCATTATCTTGACCATATGTCAACACAGGATCAACCAAGAAATATCCAGACCCACGAGGACCTTTACTTTCACTAGATAGAAAAGGGAGAAGATTGAATTCAAGAAACCATATGAAGCAATTGCTTGTACTAATATCTAGAAGGTTAGATTAAAAGAAACATCCATGCAATAATTGATAAGAATAAACTTTTATGAAGAATACATGCCTTAACAGAGATCATATTATGACCAAATAATTAAAACAAAAGACATTACTACAAATAGATGAGCAAACATCTTTAATTTTAATAAAATTATCTTACAATGATACTTATCTTAAGATATTAGTATTAGATGTATTACATTTTTAAACACTTTATGCCTAATATAGTCCCTTTGGAATTTTCAAGGATTAGAATAATGTATAATAATAATATTCCAACCACACAATATTTGTCATATCCATTGCCAATGACTCGTTTCGCTCAATCCAGAGCTCTTCAGGTTGGCTGGGATACAACAAACACAGTTGTGGTTGGAACACTATTCATACAAGTCATCTGATATAATAATATTTATTTCCAATAAGTAGAACCTTGTTCCTAACCAATATAGTTAAATAATAGGTATACTTAGAAATAACTGAGGAATAGTCCTCTTTCTTTCTATTTTTTACTTAACTTGATGTTGACTCAACATAACCCAATTCTAAATTTCCTTGTTTGAATAGGTACTTAGGGTTTGAATAAATAGAGTGATTTTTTTGCCACACCTTACATATTCCATTTCATATTTTCCTCTTAAGACAGTCAAATTTTCTACAGAAATGGCATCAGCAAGTTAAACATGCAAATTATCATAAAAGTTAACATTTTCCTGAACATGAAAATGTATTTCCAATAATATTTACCTTGCTGACATTATAGCTATTTATCGATATCCAGGGTTTCCACTTTTTTCCTATCCAAGCATTGAAAACTTGCTCCAGTCTTTTATACCCCACTCGAATGCCCTTGTCAAATTCTAATTTACAAAATTCTCCACCAACTTCAATGCACCCTCTATCTAGGTACTGTATATAAGCACCTCATTCAGACATATACCAGCTTTTAGTGGGGAGGTAGGGTGGGAGAGTGTGAGTGGAGGTAAGTACTATTGGAAATACATTTTCAGTTTAGGAAAATGTTAACTTCCGAAACATACTTACCTCTACTGACACTACCTAGAATCCCACATTGAGAAGGTGGAGGGGGCCGGAGTAGGCATGAATCATACAGAAAGCATCTATATACAACAGAAGTGTACCAAGATAAAGATGGTACAAGAGTGGGGGAACCGCACTACATTCAAAACAGGTATGCTCTTCACCAGGGACTCAGTTCCTATATCAAAGGTGGAAGAGAATACGAGTAATTGTCAGTATAGGCCAGCCCCAACCAGAAAGTTGAGGCTCCACAACTTAAGATTATAATTAAGAAGGTATTTTTAGATTCTCAATGAATGGACCCTCGTTTGGACCTGTGGGATTTTAGATTGTAACCTGTGATTACTTTGAACAGATCACAACTTTTCTCAGATTTGTCTTACTCTCACGACTGTTCTGAGGTATTTATCTTCAATCCAACTTTTGTCAGAAGCCTATCAATATTCCCCATCAGCAATTTGAGGACGAGTTAGGGACTTTGCTGACATCTACTTCAGTCAGATTGTCTTCTTCAGTTCTTTCACTGGTTTCATGTTGGGATTTATTGATAGAGATGCCTTGTTAGTAAATGTTTGTTTATTGTTATGGGAAGCTCCTTTTCTCCATCCCATGTGGTTTGCTGGAGTTCCAGAGATGTTAGAACCATGAATTGATTCAGGTTGTTTACATTCTTCTTTATCATTGTTAGCTTCTCCAGCCCATGTTGTTTGCCAGAGTTCCATAGATGTTAGAATCATGAATTTATTCAGGTCCTTTACATTCTTCTTTATCATTGTTAGCTTCTTGCCTTTCTGGTGCTAATTTGAGAGTGTTGCCTTTTGGACTTCTTCAGGTGGAGGAGAAAGTTTGTCCACTTCAGTGTTGCTTACTTTCTCGTTGTGATTCCGGTGGTGTAAAACACATCACTCTATGACTAAAGGTTGAGATCCAATCAAAAGTATATATAACATTGCAGTCCAATATCTCTAGCTATCAATGTGGGATATAGATACCATGACCTCCTGGCAGTGTTAAGCCAAAGCACGCTGTTCCTATAAACGTGGGAGACAGGCATAGCTATCCCATCATGGAACCGAGCAGTGAATCTCCCAGCATGAACAGCAATATGAACAGAAAAACCAAGTAGTCATTTGCCATCCTTTCTGCCAACAAGGAAGGAGTAGAGTCAAATGCAATAGGAGAGACCCCCAAAACCTCACAACCT